GAGTGACTGAAGAGAAACAAGAATAAATCGAGACAACAATGAACTGCCTTTAATCGATAACTATAACATTTTACGAGCCTGGTGCTAATAAACTAAATAAAAATATGAATGGTTGATTATTTTTTATTTATTGATTAGTTGATTAGTTATATTTTTGCTACTTAATGCGGCAATCCCCTCGCGTAGTGCTAGAGTAATTCTCAATTTAGGTATCTAAAATTAAAATTCTGATATACTAGGTATACTAGATACTAGGTATACTAGATACTAGGTATACTAGATACTAAATATACTAGGTACTATGATATTATTAGCAATCGAATCTTTTTTATTCAAACTCTACAAAAACAACGTATTAATACGTTTTGTTTACTGCAAAATTACCGGTTTTGTTATAGGGCTGCGGTTAAAAAAACTTATATATCTAGAAAAAAAGAAAATCTAAAATACTCTAGTTGAGTCTCGCCGTCTCGCGCCACGTACAGTATTTACAGAGCCCAGAATATTTACCACCAGGATAAGCAGGGCCTGTAACGCAGATTTTACGCAGAAACTACACGAATATGTATGTATAAATCTATAGAATTCCGTAAGTGCCAATGTCTCTCGTTACATATTGAAAACGTCTCATATATTTAAAGAAATTTTGAACAGTATCTTAATTTGCATGCATTAAGACGTGATGAGCATTCATTCTCAACTCAACCTTCTATAGGTGCCTTTTTTATTTTCTAGGGATGATAAATAGATACCGAAGCCCATAGACACCAACAACTGAAATACCGAAACCGAAACATTCAAACTTAACGTATGATTATTTCGTGGTAGAAATAGGCAAGGCACCTACCATACAATCAGTAAGTAAGTTTTTACTGGTGGTAGGACCTCTTGTGAGTCCGCGCGGTTGGGTACCACCACCCTGCCTATTTTCTGCCGTGAAGCAGTAATGCGTTTCGGTTTGAAGGGTGGGGCAGCCGTTGTAACTATACTTGAGACCTTAGAACTTGTATCTCAAGGTGGGTGGCGCATTTACGTTGTGGATGTCAATGGGCTCCATTAACCACTTAACACCAGGTGGGCTGTGAGCTCGTCCACCCATCTAAGCAATAAAAAAAAAGTAAGAAGTACCTTTGGAATAGCTTCAAGTAAATGACTCGAGGCCCTAATGCATTAGATACGGCGTACTCGTATCGAGTGACATCGTCAAGCATGTATTGAAATCCCTCAGGATGCCTTTTTTATTATAATTTATTTAAGTTTTATGACCCAGCCCATTACCCTGCCTATTTCTGCTGCAAAGCACTCATCGCAGTAGATTTATGGGTGGCAGGATGTAGGGTTAGCTCGCACGGGTAAGGGCCATTATTAAAATCTATTCCTGCCGCGAAGGTGTCATGTGTTCCAGTTTGAAGGGTGTGACAGCCATTATACAATACAAAGCAGACTTTGATACCTTAAGACTTATGTTTCGCTAGGTTGTTTCAGATTGTGATGTCTTTAAAACTACTTAACACCAGGTGGGCCCTTAGCTGTATTTTTGGGTGGGTAGGTGTTACGTCTAGAATAGTTTAGATGTTACTTTTCATAACACCCATTAATAAAAAAATTAATAGTATAAAAAATACTAATACATAATTACATAACAATATTTTTTTTAATCCCAAATTGAACGAAGTTAATTTAATTATAAAAAATATATTAAATACATAAGTGGACCATTTATTTTGACTCTAATTGTACGATGCGCAGATGATCCCAAATCTTTTGTCGAAAGCTCACAACTCGTGCCGATTACTATACAGTATGCGCGCGAGTTCATGTACATCGGGGCTGGAGGCGACGCGCAGGGGGCAGCTCGCCCCGTCTCCCCGCGTTTGTCTGACGTCTAGTGTTGTCTTTGACAGTTCTGACGCGCGCTTATCGATACCAAAAAACTTACGCTAACGCTATTGTGTTATTTCATGGTGAATAAACCATGAATACTCCGCTTCCAACAACTTCAGGTAGAAAAAAACCTACACTGATTCGGACTCTGATCTGTTGGTTGTCTTTTCATCTGATAGTAGTTGAATTGGAATTTAAAAAATATTTTTCTCTATTAGAAAGAAATAAGTAATTACTTATCGCATTTATTTTATAATTTGCAAAGTGACCTGGTTACATTAAACCAAATTGACAGCTGTTGACTAAATCGGTAGTTATTATCGACATTACCATAATTAACTAGGTCACAGCACTACCGCATTCCTCAGGATGGACATAAACTCGCGCGTCTACTGTACATAAAATTTGAGAAAACGTTTTGATAGCAACGTTGGCAGCGCGTTGCCAACAAACTGACTTTAAAAGAGACTGAGATAACAAAACGCATTTTTGACATATCGTTTTGATAGAAAACGTCCTGTCGTTCGATACCTACCTATAGAATCGAATGATGTGCGAGCCAGTGTTTTGTGATAAATACGAAAGAAGTATACAATAAATATATGTGCAACGATGTCCGAGATAGATATGGATAAGTTTGCTGTGCCAGACTTCGTCCCCGAACGTTACGTAAAAGACCTCGCTAGATCCTGCGTCGGAGGGGAGGAGCTACAGCAACAGAAGGAGAAAATACAAAATTTAGCCGAAGAAACCGCAAGTGCCCTAAAGAAAAATGTCTACGAGAATTATATGCAGTTTATCGAGACTGCGACGGAGATATCCCACCTCGAAACGGAAATGTACAAGCTATCGCATTTGTTAAGCGAACAGCGTTCTGTGCTGACTGTGCTCTCCCACGCCTCAATCCTCGGTAACGAGAACGGTTTATCACGCGAGTCTCTTGATAATCACGACGTCGAGGCTGAGAGGGCAGAAGAGGAACGAAAAAATAAATTAAATCTCATTACAGAAAAGGTAGAATCATGCATGAATCTGTTAGATGTCCCAGATCGAACTCTGCTTCATGAAGGTGACTTGCTAGAAATAGATGCAGAAGAAAATACTGCATTACAAAGAATGCATGTATATTTATTTAATGACTGCCTTATGTTAACATCCTGGATTTCTAACAGACGTGGTCCAATGAGATATAAGTTTCAAGTGAGTTACCCAATAAAGAATTTAGCTGTGGTGAATGTAAGAGATTTAGGAACTGTGAAACAAGCATTTAAAGTGTTAGCCTTCCCAGACACCAGAGTGTTTCAATGCAATAGTTTTGCAATAAAAAAAGATTGGCTAGACAAATTTGAGATAGCAAAAAAACTGTATATTGAAAAAGAAAATTCTAAACAGAAGAAAAAAGATAGTCAAGAAAAATCAAAATCTGAATCTATTGAATCACCGAGTCTGTCTGTGGAAGAGATGCCATCACCCCAAATTACACCATTGCCTGAGTGGTTGGCTGATGTTACTGAAGAGCTTGATGTTTTGATCGTGGAGAGACATTTTCAAAAAACCTATGAGTTGATGGTTTCAGCTCAAAAAGCTTTAAATACTGAAGATTTTAAAAACCATCCACAAAGGGTTGATATATTGAAAAAAATAGAACAGAAGCAAAAGAGTTTAATTGAAATATTATTGAAAGATTTAGATGTAACACATAATTGGAGTTTGCGAGGAGGACTCCAATCAACTAGACAACCGGTACTGATACTCAATAAGTTTAATATGACCAGTCAGGCTTGTGACTTGTTTTTGACGATATGCAGTTACACAGTCAAAGTTCATGTGAAAAGGGTGCAACTGGAAGGGTCAATTAACACTTATGTTAAACAAGTGGGTGAAGTGTTTTTTTGCTCATTGAGTGATGCCTTAACAGAGTTTATTTCACTATTTCCTAAAAATAAAATAAGTGCTTTTATAGTCTGGGCTAGTCTGCAACTTAGGATATTGATGAGTCAGATTATAAAACAAGTGTTCACACCTCAGTGTGCATTAGATTCCGTTCAGGATTGTGTTGAGAGTCTAAGGGAACAATGTACATTGTTTTGTCAATTTGGTTTAGATTTAAGATTCCAGTTGAACAGTTGTTTGAGAACACCAATAATAAAAGCTTTGAGAGAATATAAAGAGAAGACTGTTGACTCTATGAAAAATAAAATCACTGAAGACAAATGGACTCCAGTGAATATGCACACCAAAGCAGGTGTCAATAAATTCCTGAAACAAATGGAAACTTTGGGCCTTATATTAGCTAAGTATGTAATTAATGAAACATGGGTAGATTTATCAAGTAGTACCATATGGTTTACAAAGTCTATTGTCACTATACAGAAAATAGGTCTCCAGTTAGTGAACAAAGATATGATGGATAACCTTGATGAATACATTTATACAATATTCAATTCATGGCTTGTCCTCGCATCAGTCAACGATATTAGTTATGCAAAGAAGAATTTCAAATTCATTTTAGAAACAGTGATGCCTTTAATGCTTAGATGTTATAAAGAAGAAGTTGGCTATGATAATGAGAAATTAGTAGCTTTGGCAAAGAATTATGGTGTCAGTATTACACCATCCAAAAACATCACAAAATACACAAGTAATGAATATTTATGAGAATAGTCAATAGTCTATAAATAAGATGTATGAAATTATTTATATTATGCTGAAGCTTTAAATTTGTAATATAATAGAGAGTAAGCAAGCAGAATTATGTTAGTTTATATAAATACTGATCAAATTAAATTTTATGTATATGCAAGTTACGAATATTAAGTTTTAATACAATCATTATTTATAGTGATCTGTTTAAGTGTTCTTTGAAATTGTAAAGACAAGAATAAAATATATTTCCAGTATTACGATTTTTATTACTAGTGCAGTCAATTTTGCATGTTACAAAATATAACTAGAGACATTATCGTTTTTTCCCCAATATTTAACAGCAAATTGAAGCAATATAATACATGAAGCAACTAAACCTAATTGTATTACAATTTAATTATTTACATATCTGTAACTATAAAACATAAACTTATATTTAATTTAATTATAGAGACTTATATTTAATGTGATATATTAAAAAAAGAATCTATATTTTAAATAATAATAATAATATTTACCAAAATGATATTTTTGGTGTATTCTAAATTTGTAAATACAGGAACTTTTTAAGCAAGAAATAACATAGAATACAGAAAATTATATGATACATTGCGTACATTTATCAGTTAATATTGTTTCATGCTTTGTGTATTGAAAATTTATTTTACATTTGCAATTAATTTATTTCATATATTTTTTGACGTAATTACATATAAAAGGGATATAATTTGACATATATACTATTTGGGCTTGTTTTTATTTGGAACACTATTATGTCATAAAAATAAATTCATGACATTATTTCATAATTTCATTCAGAGGATAAAAATATGATTCAGTCTATTTCTTTTTAATATGACAGAATGTACATTAATATATTATTATATCCTACGTTAAGGATATACCAATTTCTAGCTCAATCAAGTTCCATTAGAGATTCTATGAATGTGGTTCCATTGATTATTTTAGTGGTTAAGATAACAAATTCCACAACCGAATCTTCCTGCTGGCTGATCGTCCTGAGCACTGAGATCTCGTGGTACGTACAGCCTCCAATGAAGAATACGAGCACGACCCGTGGGTTTTCTATTGATGATGAATTCTCACTAGAACCGGAATGGCGACGTGTCATACGAGGTTGTAGGGTTTGTAGCTCGTCCACTGTAGGGCCCGGCAGGAGGCCTAATACGTCTTGGATACCTGTGAAAGTATAATTGTCGTATTTGTTACGTCTTCACGCTCAGACCACTGAACCGATTTTGACGAAATTTGATAATGAAATAGTTCGCCTCTTTAAAGACTAGGCTACCTTTAATCTCACCACTGAGCATCACTACATAGTATAAACCAAAGTCGCTTTCTCTGTCCCTATATCCCTATGTATGCTTAAATCTTTAAAACTACGCAACGGATTTTGATGCGGTTTTCTTTAATAGATAGAGTGATTGAAGAGGAAGGTTTATATGTATAATAACATCCATTAAATAGTGGAGAAATCAATAATAAATTACAGTTTCCGAAGCGAAGCGAGGGCGGGTCGCTAGTATGATATACGTTTGTTCTTAGTAAATGCACTTTCTTATAATGCACATAGAAGTGGAGCTGAAATTATCCATTAAAATGAATAAAACGCTTGAAGCTATATTCAGGTCTTTCGCTTTTATTGAAACCATAAAATTGATTATAATAAAAAAAGAAAAAAAGAAATGACCGATAGAAACAGAAATAAACATGGATCAATGTCAAATTTAGATAAACAATATTATTATCACTACCTTATGTGTGTTTATGTTAGCTTATATGTTGGTTTATGTGTGTGTGTGGCTATGTATGTGTGGGCAAATTTTAATAATTATTATTATGTGTTTTAAATTTCAATTATTATTTCACATTGATATCCAGCATAATAATTAAATTAATTTTAATTTTAAGCATGATTTAATAGTGTTATTATTACTTATATTCCTAAATACTCAACTCATAAGTATATCATAATTAAAACTAGTTTTACGGTTTAAAGTGAATTTTACTAATGGAAACGTCGGAAACAATAAAATACCGTAAAAATTGTTTTAAATTATGTCGAAAACCCAAGAACACTTAATTAAAATTTCAGTTGAAATATTATTATTTTTTACTTTTTTTTGGTTACAGAAACTGGCAAGGCAGTGGATTAAGTTCATCTGGGCGGTATACTTTATGTAAATAACAAATTTTCATATTTGTTACTATTGTTGATCGAAGATATTTGTATGTTAGATTAGGAAGCCATGCGCTGTGTAGTGTGACCGTGACGTAATATTAATTAGGGTCATAGTAACTGTATCATTAGCACGTTACATGAATATTTAGTTTCACGCTTATCAAAACGCTCTAGTGAGTCATTGTTGATAAATGTATGTATTTTATGACTTGATAATATGGTTTGCAAAAATATAACATTTTCATTAACATTATACGATACACCAATGGTTTTAAAATGTCATTGTATTTATATAAAGAAACATCAATAATTCCTATATTGCATATTACATAGGCAAATACATGGCGACTACAATATCTACAACTATCCAACTACAAAATAATTCAAAGCAAATTGAATCATCTCAGGTTTTTTTTTTTTTTTGTTTTTGCATTATTATTTACGGGATTATGTGGAGATATTTAAAAAAATAATCGATGTATTTATAATTGCAAATATTTTAGTTGCAATAAACATAAATATATTGTTATTAACCTTTTGCATTCGAGAGGTGAATCTCGCTCATCACATAATTTAATTACAAAAATAACGATATCAGAAACATAAAAAAGATTTCAATCACCAAATAAAGAAAAATAAATAGTTTACACAGCGCTTTTTTTTTCTTTCCTACCTAAGCTGAGAGCCTTGAGAGGCTATATCAGCGTAACCCTAACTTTTGTAGGTGAGCTCACGGGGCTCAAACCTGATGACGTTGCTAACACGAACCCTAGCAAGAGCCGTGCTTCGCAGAATCTACCACCGGATCGGAAACGCGACCCATTGAGAAGATCCGGCGAGAAACTCAGTGGGCTGTGTCTGAGAGTTAATTTACTCGTCGAGCCCTTCGTCGCAAGCGACGGGTTCGACGAGAACGGTGACCGGTGCTTGAAGTACCTAGAAGCAACAGCGCATTACCGCACCAAAATTAAAGCGGTGAGCGACACTCACCTCTCGATTGCGAAGGGTTAAATCTATACTAATATATAAATCTACAGTGGTTTTTACGGATGTTATAACTATTGAATCATGCATCCGATTGACTTGAAACTTGGTATCCATGTAGAAAATACATGTACTTAATGGATAGGCTAATATTTATATAAGTGTTGGACTCCCTACACCAGTTGCGGGGGCGTTAATGACGAGAGTGTTTGTGGGGGTGAGAAATAATCATGTTAATTTTAAATGCTTATCGAAGCGGTCGGGTACAGCCAGTAAATATATATTTATGTTCATTCCAAGTCGATTGAGGTACACGAGAAATCAGTTTGAATATAATCTTCAGTGATGCCACCATACACATCAAGTAACCGCGAGGCAAGGGTACCACCATCGCCCTGTAAGTCATGTGCTCTGATTCCAAGGGGCAAGACAATCGTTATGCGATTGAATCATGTGCGTGTGACGGTAGTCATCACAGAACACAAGATATTTGACAGACACCCGAATCGCGCTAACGACATTTTCAAGAAATCTTTGCACATAATATACAGGTTTCGAACAACATTCAGAGCGGCGGTCTGTCGAGTTGTCTCCTTCGGAGGCGCTCGGGTAGTTGTTAGCAAATCCCACCCCTCCTGGCTGAGCCTTTGCTCGCCCACCTGTCCTGGTGAAACTGGAAAGGCCTCCGGGCCACCAGTAACCCTTTAATCATAAAAAAAGGTCTGTCGAGCTAATTCACTCGCTCGATCGAAGATCGATACGTTATGCAATTCAGCAATTCAGATTCTGTGTATGTGCCCTCCAAAAACCACTTAACAGCAGATAGGTAAAAAAAAAACTTGTGGTTACCAGTAATTTAAAAAATAATAATTATGCTGCATATATAGGTGGGAGAGATCACGGCCCACCTGGTGTTAAGTGGTAAGCCCACAGACATCTACAACGTCAATGCCGCCACCCACCTTGAGATATGCGCTCTAAGATCCCTGCATAGTTACAAGTAAAGAATACAAAAATATTAACGTACCGCTCCATCCTTTATTCTTGGCGATATGTTCGCTCAGTCTCACTGTTAACGGTGTATATTTACTCGACAAATAACTTTTGTCTTTGTCATTTGCATCGGAATCGTCCGTCGTCAGATGTAAGGCCTGGAAAAAGTTACTGTTTGATTCTTGATGTATAATTAAACACAATATCTAGGTTTTTTTTTTTTTTTCTTGCTTAGATGGGTTGACGAGCTCACACCTGGTGTTAAGTGGTCACTGGAGCCCATAGACATCTACAACGTAAATGCGCCACCCACCTTGAGATATAAGTTCTTAAGTCTCAGTATAGTTACAACGGCTGCCCCACCCTTCAAACCGAATCGCATTACTGCTTCACAGCAGAAATAGGCGGGCTGGTGGTACCTACCCGTGCGAACTCACAAGAGGTCCTACCACCAGTACACCAGTACCAGTAGAACGGTATGTCATCTCACTGATGTTGGAGACGACTAAGGAATTCACTGGAGAATGGACCGGAGCGGTTTCCGAGTATACCAGAGTACTACGATTTACAGCTGGCGTTTATTGGTGGTTTTTTCTGTCATGAAACGGTCATGTGCTCCGGTTTGAAGGGTGGGGCGGCCGTTATACAATACCAATGCAGACTTAGACATCATGTCTCTAGGAGACATTCCCGTTGCGACGTCTATAGGATCCGGTAACCACGTTTGCCTATGATAAATAAAAAAAACATTTGAGAAACAGTTGTTTTTTAATTGTTACTGTGCCTGATATTTCCATCTCTATCACACGCTTTCGTTATCAAGAAATATTCAATTAGGCCGTGATCAGTACGAGTTGTGTCAGCGATTTCGTTAACGCGCCATTCCAGTAATACGTGTACGCACGCATCTTTATAATTTTTTTCTTACAAAATGATTTATATATGTACATTATACATTATCCGAAAAATGGAATTCATTAAACGCTTACACAGTCATCACTAATCCATTGTATAATGTTCTAATATAATCTTTGAAACAAATATTTTAATATATTTCATATCAAGTTTTAGAAACACGCACGCACGCACTCAAGCACATCCGCACGCAAGCACACACGCAAGCATTGTAAAAAAAACAATTACCCACTTTCGGCAAATGGGTAAATAAATACCTTTCTCAGTACAGTATACTGACGGGTTCCTTGTTGTGTTTTGAGCAGACCGCACTTCTCCAAGTTGCAGATACTTAGCCAGGTCTTCAGACCGTACGTTTGCACGAGTTCCCTCTTGTAATATTCCAGAATTTTCGGCTTTAAGCCAGACCCGGTTGCGCATTGTAGGCAAATCAAGCGCAGCACCTGGTAAATGAAGGAAAATATGGTATCTACTTAATAAGCATAGGTGAGCAGACAATCACTGGAATACCACATTTAGATTGATCCGGCATCCAAAAAGTCTATGAGATTTTTTTTATTGCCCTTGTACGCAGACGAGCACACGATCCACCTGATGGTGAGTGGTTACCGTCGCCCATGGACATCCGCAATGCCAGGGGAAGAGCCAAGCCGCTGCCTACCGCTTAATACTCTCCACAAGCCTCGTTTGAAGAAGGACATGTCATATTTTATTATATATACTAGAAGTGCATTGCGATCGCGATAAATTTGTAGTTCCGAAAGAATGAAACGGGTTGAATTTATCCGAAATAACAATTGTTTGTGTCGTAATCTAAGACAAGACTACCAGCCAGTACAGAAAATCACAAATCAACAAACATAATATTATTGTTGTTGAATATGGCGGTCGAATGAGCGTGGTTACTGATTTTCATGGGCCACTAGACGGGCTCGGCTGGATCGCATGCAGCGTACGTACTGATAGTCTGAGTAATAAAAGCACTGACTTCTTATGAACAATTGTATTTTGTCTGAATTACAACATTTAATTATATTCAAGTCTGATTGAAGAGTACTGAAGACGCGTCCGTTCGCGTGAGAGGCGCTTGGGCAGAGAGCGAACAGAGTAGTTGAATGACAAAACTGAATATTAACATAGATTATTACGGCTTCGTACTGATCTAATACAGATAAACAATTTCGTTTCTACAGAGTAATAATTACAAGTGAATTTGCGTGAACAATTGTGTTTATTATACCAAATGCATCCGGCCTAGCTCGGATCACGTAGGTACATACCATGATACCATATTTAATACGTAAATAAAAAAAACAATATAAATTCGACCGTTGGTTCGAAATATAAAAATCCTTACCACCAGCGCCACCTGTGCGGCACTAACGTAACTATATTGGTCGGAGTGGTTATGTCGTCCTTTATTTATTTTCGAGTTTTACAAACATATACATTATCTTATACATATACATAATATATAAATGCTAACCTTAGTAAGAGGTTCCTTCTGTGCAATCAGGTCTTCAATATACGGACAAATCTTTTCGCTGTCGATACAATTCAGAAAGTCTTCTTCGCATTGTATTTTGTCGTGAAAATCGAAGCTGTCAGTTTTCTGAAAGATAAAAATAATACACTCCTCATAGTCGTCCGAAAACTAAGTAAAATTCCAACATCAACTTTTTAAGTGACGGAAGAAAGTTCGTTAATTCTTTAGAAAAATTTAGAAATACGAGGGCGGCACTGAAAATTTCGGGAATTAACGAAGTGACACAACATTACTATTTAAAAATGTATTTATTGCTTTTCGAAGTATTCTCCGCGAAATTTGACACATTTTTCCATACGATGGAACCAATCATTGAAGCAACCATTCCATTCGGAAGTTGGGGTCTCCAAAATGGCCGTTTTGTAGGCGTCCACAGCTTCTTCNCGCGCCCTTCGTTATATACTAAGTAAAAGGTTGAGTGTGAACCGGTGAAAAGGTGTATGTGCCACCCATCGCAGAGGAACACCACTACGACCGTGATAGTGCCAGCATCAGCCTCCAAGTAAGTCCCGTTTTCCTACCTACCCTTTCGTGTCCGCTCATTCTCCGCAGAGTTCATTTGCTCCCTTTCAGCTCATCAGCTCACCTGCGTCACCAACCACCCTGCCTATTCTCTGCCGTGAAGCAGTAATGCGTTTCGGTTTGAAGGGTGGGGCAGCCGTCGTTACTATACTTGAGACCTTAGAACTTGTATCTCAAGGTGGGTGGCGCATTTACGTTGTGGATGTCTATGGGCTCCAGTAACCACTTAACACCAGGTGGGCTGTGAGCTCGTCCAACCATCTAAGCAAAAAAAAAAAAAACACGCAAGCATTGTAAAAAAATTATTACCCACTTTCGGCAAACGGGTAAAAAAATACCTTTCTGAGTACAGTATATTGACGGGTTCCTTGTTGTGTTTTGAGCAGGCCGCACTTCTCCAAGTTGCAGATACTTAGCCAGGTCTTCAGACCGTACGTTTGCACGAGTTCCCTCTTGTAATATTCCAGAATTTTCGGCTTCAAGCCAGACCCGGTTGCGCATTGTAGGCAAATCAAGCGCAGAACCTGGTAAATGAAGGAAAATAGGGCATTTACTTAATAAGTACAGGTGAGCAGACAATCACTGGAATATCACATTTGGATTGGTCTGGCATCCACAAAGTCTATGAATTTTTTTTTTATTGCCCTTGTATGCAGACGAGCACACGGCCCACCTGATGGTGAGTGGTTACCGTCGCCCATGGACTTCAGCAATGCCAGGGGAAGAGCCAAGCCGCTGCCTACCGCTTAATACTCTCCACAAGCCTCGTTTGAAGAAGGACATGTCATATTTTATTATATATACTAGAAGTGCATTGCGATTGGGATAAATTTATAGTTCCGAAAGAATGAAACGCGTTGAATTTAACAGAAATAACAATTGCTTGTGTCGTAATCTAAGATAAGACTACCAGCCAGTACAGAAAATCACAAACCAACAAACATAATGTTATTGTGTTTATTATAGCAGACGCATCTGGCCTAGCTCGGATCATGTACATACCATGATACCATTTTTAATACGTAAATAATAAAAACATGTTATAAGTTCGATCGTTGGTTCGAAATATAAAAATCTTTGCCACCAGCGCCACCTGTGCGGCACTAACGTAACTATATTGGTCGGAGTGGTCATGTCGTCCTTTAGTTATTTTCGAGTTTTACACACACATATATTATCTTATACATATGTATATATAATTATATAAATGCCAACCTTGGTAAGAGGTTCCTTCTGTGCAATCAGGTCTTCAATATACGGACAAATCTTTTCGCTGTCGATACAATTCAGAAAGTCTTCTTCGCATTGTATTTTGTCATGAAAATCGAAGCTGTCAGTTTTCTGAAAGATAAAAAAAATACACTCCTCATAGTCGTCCGAAAACTAAGTAAAATTCCAACATCAACCTTTTAAATGAAGAAATAAAGTCCGTTAATCCTATAGAAAAAATTAGAAGTAATTACAATGCGTGACGTCACATGTGGCTAATGGTGTGACTTAGTTTAAACTCTATGAGTAAGGTGGTCGCTTATTTTAGGTAGTAGTATTTAGTAGCACTAGTATCTTAGTAGCAGCACCGGCTGTTCGAAGTCCGTTAAAAATATTTAATAAAATGATCGTACCTCTTTGATGTACTCAGCGATGGCGGTGTGAGTGACCAGGGACTGCTTGTTGGCCAGCAGCTGCGGTAGGCGGGAAACAAAATGCTTGATCTCTTGCACGGATTTGTCTTTGTGGCGCTCATCTAGTTGTGTTTTAATTATGCGAGCCTTTTTCGATAATGCTGCTCCTATCTGTAAGATAAAGAACATTTTAATACCTAAACAAATTCAAATGTTTATAATAATAACTCTATGAATATTGAGAATTTTAGGTACATTTATATTTATTGGTTGAACGAGCTCACGACCCTACATACATTTAAGTGGTTACTGGAGCCCATACACATCACCCACGTCGTGACATAGGTTCGAAGATTCAGCGGTATTACTTATCAGGTCTCTCAAACACGTACTTTCGGTCTCACATTACATCCTATACAAGTAATCACGGATATATGCGGGTAATTTTTTTATTACACGATGGGTGGGTATATTCAATTACGTACTGCTGGCTTCTTAATTGTAATCTACTTTAGGTATTGTTTGCATGTTAATTAGAAGCTCGATTGTTAAATATAATTTAATACTTATAACCGGATAAAGCAATTACTAAAAGCTACTTCTTATTATAATATCTACCTACATATTTAGAAAAATTCACAAACTTCAGGACGTCTGATTAATTTGGAATTCCATAATATAGGTTGATGACTATTGAACAATTTCAATATGCCGGCCTAATAACCTGATAAGTCTCGTCAAGATAATAAAACGATTATTTTGACCTTTGGCGCGGCTTTTTATTTAAGCAATTTTTTCAAACTCTTTTACTGTTGTTTCATATTCATTCGTTAAGTTAAATCAACGTTAAACATGTAAAGAGCCAAATAAAGTTTTCTCCTGTGTTACGACTGCCTGAAATACATTTACAAGCACACCCAGGCCACAGTCCAGAATTCAAAATTATATAATTGACAATGACCGAAATCCGAAACCAGACATGTAAAATGTTCAAGGAAAATTACTACGAGAACAATGAGACGTTTAAAACTGATTTAAAAGTTACCTCGGTAAAGTCAGAGTCGCGTATTTCTGCAAACAGTTCTTCGCTGGAGTTGAGTATGACGTGTTTCTTCTCACGGGCTGTCTCTTCTGGGTTAGGATCGTCCGGACCCACGAACTTTTGTCCCGGAAACGTGGCCGTACCGCTCTTTATGCGGTAGATTTCGTCTGCCGAAAAAAAATAAATAAATTAAATGTTACAAGACTGCACTAACTTAAATACGCAAAAGCAAGTACCTACTCTTTAATTTACCTTGTTTTGTAAAAATGCTGTCGTTTTTAATGGCAAAGCCTTTTATAACGGTCATTTTCAAACGGTTCCATAACTTTTCAGCAATTTTATTTTATTTGCTTTGCAACTGAAATAGCCAGACTGTTGGTAGCTACCCGTACAGAGGCACATAAGACGCCACTCTACCACCAAAATTGTAATTGATTTTTATTAGATTTTTTCTATTTTCATTGCCCCATGTTATTCCTTCATCGTGGAAGTCCTATTTGTAACGTCAACTGATAATAGGTAATGAAATCGTAATAATTTCGGTTCGTTATATGAGTCGACTATTATCAAAGCCGGCAATCTGACTTTTGGACAATTATTGGTAAATCAGAAAAACGAATTATTGACTTTGTATTCCATTGGCAGTCACAAAACTCTTCGGAACGACATCTTAGATAAATAACAGGTTAACTATTAACCTTTATTTAATGCAGGTTTTGAACCGTATTCTTTGAAGGAGACGATTATATTCAAATCAATCTGTATTGACATATCAATAAAATTTTTTTGTCCAAATGCACAGATTGCCACCTTTGATAATAGACGACTCATGTATACAGATGAGTCGTCTATTATCAAAGCCGGCAATCTGACTTTTGGACAATTATTGGTAAATCAGAAAAACGAATTATTGACTTTGTATTCCATTGGCAGTCACAAAACTCTTCGGAACGACATCTTAGATAAATAACAGGTTAACTATTAACCTTTATTTAATGCAGGTTTTGAACCGTATTCTTTGAAGGAGACGATTATATTCAAACCAATCTGTATTGATATATCAATAACATTTTTTTGTCCAAATGCACAGATTGCCACCTTTGATAATAGACGACTCATATATGAAAAACGCACTACCTACCCGTGTGGGCTTTCTGTGCACGCCACCACATACACATGATAACATATGATAGACTCACCAATAAGCCCCTCATAGGTGAGTTGGGTCGCCATTACACTTGTAAAGTCAACGGCTCGGTCCAATAAGAGTAACTGATCGATGCATGATGTCGGTGCACCCTTATTCCCGGAACCTTGCTCCTCTTTATTCAATCTGCACAATAGATCCCAAACCTGTCAAACAATGTCAATTTAAAAGAAGCACATGCGAAATTCAAACAGGTAATACACAATAATCAGTTTAGTCTTGGTGCATAATACCTGTGTAGATAGATACATATGACTCTAGCAACAAAACCTAAGAAAAAGGCAAAATTGTCAAATACCTATCTCCTTACTTAACATACATTCATGATTGACCGAATAAGATTGTGTAATAAAAAATCCAACCAGGCAACATTTTTAATTTATGTATGTGCTGGTGATATGGCGCTGGTGGTGCACGTCACCACCTATTTCTACCTCGAAGCAGTAATATTCTTCGGTTTTAAAGATGAGATATGAGACAGCATTTATTTAGTACAATAGAGAGCTCCCTGTCAAGGTGGGTAGCGGTATTTGTATATATTTATGGGCATATTAGCAGGTGAGAAAGCAGATGGCAAAGGGAAAATGACCACAGACTACAAATACAAGACACAATGCTGATGAATTGCCATCTGGAATAAAGCAGTGATTTGCAGTTTAAATTAATACATTAAAGTGTTATATAACAACGAATTATACAAATTGTTAATTGTAGGAATTAATATTCTACTACTACTGCTACTGAGCTGGCGCTATGACCCCGAAGTGGGTCTTGGTCTCCGACAATAAACTTTGCCATTCATCCCGGCGCTGCACAACACCTTGCCAGTCCGACACTTGAAGCTCACTTAATTTCCTTCCACAGCATCAGACCAGCGGTACTTGGGCCTCCCTACGGGGCGGCGTCCCTCCGGTACACCCACGTACACCCGTTTCACAGCCCGATCCTGCTCCATACGTACTACATGCCCGAGCCATCCGAGCCTCCGTGCCTTCATCTCCCCCAGAATATTTGGCTCACCAAAAAGCCTCTCAACATCCTTATTTTTCCGGACGTGCCGGACGTACAGTTCAGAAAGAAGACGGTTCTTGGCACGTCCGGAAAAATAATAATAATATTCTGCTTTTACAATATATCCACTTAAATCGTGTGTGTAAATGTGTATATGTTCATGAAATTTGTGCTTCTTGTATTGAATTATTTACAAACTTAATAGTAGCAAAGGTAATTTATTTATCGATTTAAAAAATTAATTATAAATATCAAACTCAGAAATCACACAACACTGATGTGACTATCCAAAACATTTAAAGTATAACTTTGCAAATATCACAATTAAAAGACATTGTTTCTGTCTCAGTTAAATGTTGTCAGTCAAGAAACGTACCTGTTTAGCTGCTTGGCCTTTCCCGAATACACGAGGCACAATTCCATAAAACTGTTGGATGGTTCTTAGTGCCTGTGCAGCATTGTATATGCAACTTGTGTCACCTTCTATGTAATTTTCTCTGCAAATTATTTCAATGTTACACATCAACATGCATTAGTTTTGTATTTAAGCCACTTCAAACTTTTCATTGCAGAAATTTAAACAATGTTGTACAATAATTACTTAAAAAAAAGTTAACTTGTACAATCATGTTATAGAAGCATTTATAACTAACTGTAACTTTAATCTTATCGCAGCCTAAAGGATAAGGCAACAGGTGCATTCGTATCGAGCAATGTGACTGAATTCTACAGGCATTATTTTTCTAATGAATATGTACTTAATAATAAATATATATAAAAAATTAACAAATAAAAAAAGTCTTTTATTTCATGCAAGTGACTTATAAAATCAAAATTAAATCAATGGATCTATGTGATTAATTAACTAACAATTATGTTTGTTGAATAATACTAGGTATTATTGCTACTTCCATGAACCCCCCCTCGGGTAAAGGCCTCCTCCAAGTATGTATTTAATAAATGTTCACAAATGATTTCCACAGTGAGCACTGATATAGTAACATTACTTACTATGAGTAAACCCGTCACTTTATCATTTGGGACGTAACTATATCATCAAAAGGATATTGAAAAATTTACTTCCATCTTTAAAGATTTTAAAATTAACATAATATAGCAAATATACTGACCGGAAGTCATTTTGTAGTTCTAAAGACATGACATCACTTTCGAATGGAATGATGTCACACTTAAACTCTTCAATTGTCATGTTACTGACCACTCCTCTATTGGTGAGATGTACTTTGCACAGTTCACTTTTGCGTGGCACAAAGAACAAGTGAAATTCTACTGGAGCTGTTTGCTTGGCCCTGTATATTGAGTAATATATTCGAATTTAAATTTTAGTTGGTTTCTGTTATTGTTGGTATAGACCAGGGGTGGGCAAATATTTTGATAGTAAGGTCACATTGCAGATGAAAATTTGACCGCGGGCCAAACAGTTTTTTTTTTCAAATTTTACTTAAAAACTAATTGCTTATATGTGTGGACGAGCTCACAGCCGACCTGGTGTTAAGTGGTTACTGGACACAGTGGTTAATGCGCCACATACCTTGAGATATAAGTTCTAAGGTCTCAGTATAGTCACAACGGCTGCCCTACCCTCCAAACCGAAACGCATTACTGCTTCACGGCAGAAATAGAAATAAATAATATTTGTGTTTTTAATAATAATATATATAAAGCTTCACGGGTCAGACAAAATTCTACCGCCGCCATTTGCCCCGGCCTGGTATATATCACTGGACTATATCAATCTATACTAGATTTATTTACTTATGCTTTTTTGTAACTTTACTTAATATGAATAAGTACTCGATTAATAACTTTAGAAACTTTGATCCTTGTAAAACTGTACTATTTTAAATTGCACCTTAATTGTTATATTTTCACACAACAGGCTCAATCCAGATACTATCTAAAATTTTGTAACAGGAAAATAAGTAAATGAATTATAAAGCACGCTCGGCAAATATGATAGCGAGAAATTAATTAATATTGATATTCATTAACATACAATGTTAACAATTTATACTCTAATCATCACTTACAAAACAAAAAATAACTACACAAATTCAGTACCTTATTGATAAAATGTAATCAGCAACCAAATCCATCAATGAAAGTTTGGGTCTACTAATAAATATAATATGTTTGACGGTTATATTGGGTAGGCTTCCTGGTTTCAGAAGAAACATATTGTTGACTTCATGGTCTTTAAGGAATGAGTACTGAGCAACAAGGCCTACAGGCCCAGCTAGCCAGTCATCCCAAATTGTTACCTGAAAATTAAGATTTTTTTAAATTATTTATTAGAGCCATACACTTATTAAGTTAAGTCGGCTTTTAAAATTAAGAATCAATAATATAAATTTTACTCTCTCTATGAGTAAGCTCTCAGACGTGTCAAAAGCCAATAGTAACTTAACCAGTTTCTAAAAAAATACTTAACAGAGTGGAACTGAAGGTAACGTTCAAACATGACAAGTAAAAACAACAATTTATTCTTCAGTACGAGTTGATTTCTTCTATCGGAGGCGTTTTTAAATTTGAACAATATTAATTTCGAATAAGTCAGTGGCCAGTAGCATTTATAAACAAATAATTTTTTACACCTGTTACAGTAAGTTAAATATAGATTTAGAGCTATTGTAACTTCGGATAATAAATAAATGGTAAGTTGTGAAACATCATAGTATGTTTATAAACTTACTTTAGGGCCACTGTACTGTTGTAATAAATTTAATAATTCTGTTCTCATTGTTTCTTGAAGTAAAGCAACATTCAGTCGTCCACCCGCAAGGTGGCTGCTCATTTTAGTTTCTCTCATTTTTGTTAAGCAGCCTTTTTAACAGATGTATTTAATAATTGTTATTTGTTGACTGTTTTTCTTTCAACACATAAATGAATTTATCATAGATACAACTTTATCATTGATACAAATTTATGTTTTTATCATGTTTTTATTGACTACATTTTGAGTTGACATTTGAAGGCAAAGCGACACTTGACAGTTTCAATTCCAACTGAAAAGGCAAATGTATCAAACTATACAGGCCAATATTTTGTGTATTTTGTTGAATAATAAAAAAAATGCAAAATGAATGAAATATGAGACACTGATCGATTACGGCGAGACGAAATTACACGAGATAAAATATAGACTCAGTAAAATTTTGCTTATTTATTACAAAATTTCACTGGATTTTTGGAAGATCTTGCCCAGCGGTTTTGTTTCATTTTCTTACATTTGTGCATTTTCACAGATACTAAGTAGATAACAAATCATTGTTTTTACAATTCAAACCTAAAGAAGGACTATATTGACAAATTAAAACAATTCACACAACTTCGCTCCTCGCATTCCCGTCGAAAAATCCTGACATGTGATAGTTTTGTTCAGAGTTATACAGATTATGCGATAATTTTTTTTGTGAGCCGGGGCTGAGCCCCTATGAGGTCCCCGCGCCTAGAGGGTGTGCGGGGTATCTAGGACCGCATTGGACTGCGGGCCCAAGGTATAGAATTTAGGGGCCTATCCACTTTACAACTTCCCTAAACTCTCGCCCAATTGCCTGATGCCCCCTGAGGTCAGATCCGGGTGAAGTATAGGGGCTACCGCAGTCAATGAATACTTCAATCAGACAATTATTTATTGGTAGTAGGACCTCTTGTGAGTCCGCGCGGGAAGGTACTATCACCCTGCCTATTTCTGGCGTGAAGCAGTAAAGCGTTTCGGTTTGAAAGGTAGGGCAGCCGTTGTAATCATACTTGAGACCTTAGAACTTATATCTCAAGGTGCGTGGCTCATTTACGTTGTAGATGTCTTTGGGCTCCAGTAACCACTTAACACCAGGTGGGCTGTGAGCTCGTCCACCCATCTTCGTTGCCCCGTGACCTTCACCTACAGGGGCCGGGCCGTACGATCACATTCTTACCTCCGATCTCAGTTTTGTATACTGTTGGAACAGCGCCCCTAGCGGCAAACGTAGGCAAGCGTTTCAACTCCATACAGATTTGAGTTAACCTTTATGCTATCGAGAACGGTAAAAAACTGGCACTAAGCGTACAGATATCAAATTATAATAGCAAATGAATAGATAATGCATTCGAATTCAAGCACAGAACCATTTATTTCAGTTTTGTGTTATGTCTAGTAATTTTCAGATAGCAAGCACATTATATTTGGTGGCATTTTAATGGAAATTTCATTCATTGCTTCGAGACTTAGAAAAAAAAACTTTGGTAACAAGAATGTTAGTGGATACACCGGTATCCATGACAATCAGAAAATAATTAAATTGAAAACTGGGAATCTGATCTAAGAAGTTATCTAACATTTCATTCCGTCCATCCATCCATTCAAATTATAACTTATCCAACATTTTATTAAAGAGTTCTGTAACGGTGGTGACCTTTAAGGAGGGAACACGAGGAAAATTCCTTTGATCTATATGAAAATCCCAATTAAAAGTAGTTTCAGTTTTCTGTTCCAGAAATTTATATATTTATTTTATCAGTACGTACTGATAGTTGAGATAGAGTATGTTTTATCTTCAAGTTGGATCGTTTTTAGTAATTTTTCATTCATCATTTTCATAGTAATTTTTCATTCATCATTTTCATTTTTCATTTACCCGAAAATATAATTTACATATTTTTAAACATAGCTTAAGATTTTTTAACAATACATTTACTTCTAAAAAAATACCATCTTAATTTTGAATCTGTTTTTTCAAAACTTGCAATGATAAATAACATGTAGGTATTATCGAAACTTTTCATAAAAAATTGTGTAGAAGTTGTATGATCTCAATGTTTTTGAATGTTTTTATTTTTTCTTTTTAGATGGGTGGACGAGCTCACAGCCCACCTGGTGTTAAGTGGTTATTGGAGCCCATAGACATCTATAACGTAAATGCGCCACCCACTTTGATATATAAGTTCTAAGGTCTCAAGTATAGTTACTACGACTGCCCCACCCTTCAAACCGAAACGCATTACTGCTTCATGGCAAAATAGGCGGGATGGTAGTACCTACTCGTACGGACCCAGAAGAGGTCCCACCACCAATAATTACGCAAATTATAATTTTGCGGGTTTGGTTTAACCTTGGAATGTAATTTAGTTAAAATGAGAGAGACGGGAATGTCACTGTTTTTACTTAGTAGCCAATACGTTCTAAAGGAGCTCTCATTTCACTAACAGATACTACAACTTGAATAGCGCTAATTTACCTACAGTAATACTGTCGAATTGTAATAGAATTCGCGAACATTTACAACCGTGGCAAAGTGCCGGTTTCGACGGTATTCATAATCTATACTAATATATAAATCTACAGTGGTTTTTACGGATATTCCGTTATAACTACTGAACCGTGCATTTCAATTGACTTGAAACTTGGTATCCATGTAGAAAATACATGTACTTAATGGATAGGCTAATATTTATATGAGTGTTGGACTCCCTAATAATAATGACAATAAATAATAATGTTAATTTTAAATGCCCAGCGAAGGGGCGAGCACGGCTAGTCGTGTTATAAAAAATTTCCCTGACCAACAGGTCATCGCGTTGGTCTCCATTTTAAATGCTGCTACGATGAACTGAAACTGCAACCGAGCCGGCTCTACCCCACGATCTGCAAGTCAAGTAAATTGTCCCTTCGTAACAAGGTGACGTTCTACAAAAATAGCACACGTACGGTCGTGACTTACGTAAGTGTCGTGTTCGGTAACGCGGTTCGCACCCACAAGAGTTCGATGTGCAACTTAACTCACAGACACAAGTCACTGAGTTTCTTATCGAATCTTCCTAGTGGGTCGCGATTCCGATTCAGTGGTAGATTCAGCGGAACATTGTTCTCGCTAGTGCAAGTGTTGGCAAACTCTATCAAGCCGAGCTCCGTGAGCTCGCCCACCAATTAGGCGAATCTGGAATAGCTCCTCATGTCTACCAGCGATTAGATGGGAAAAAAGCATCGAATAAGCCGATTTAACACACTTCAAACTGGAATGTGCGATTGCTTCTCGGCTGAAATAGGCAGCATGGCGGTACCGACCTATAGGTCTGCATATAGGTCTTTGCGGTAGGCAGCGGCTTGGCTCTGCCACCACTCACCATCAGGTGGGCCGTATGCCCGTCTGCCTACAAAGGCAATAAAAAAAAACTATAGGTCTTTTTTAGCTTGTAACGTAATATATCCAATTACTTTCTCGAAATGTACAAAAGACATGTTTTCAAAGATATGAAAAGAAAACAACTAGAACAGAGGAGACGTGCATTGATCTTACAATGTTTTATTAAAATAATAATGGTTTTTTTTATTGCTTACATGGGTGGACGAGCTCATAGCCCACTTGGTGTTAAGTGGAGTGGTGTTAAGTTACTCGAGCCCATAGACATTAACAACGTAAATGCGCCACCCACGTTGAGATATAAGTTGTAAGGTCTCAGTATAGTTACAACGGCAGCCCCGCCCGTCAAGCCGAAACGCATGGTGATACTAACCCGTGCGGACTCACAAGAAGTCCTACCACCAGTAATTACGCAAATTATAATATTGCGGATTTCATTTTTTATTACACGATTCCTTCACCGTGGAAGTCGATCGTAAACGTTTGTTAAGTACGTATTTCAATAGAATTCAATAGAATTTCGGTAGTCTTAACACCGTTGCATCGCTAAATAGGACTGCACCAGACGTCTTATTCATTGGGCCACGACTACTTCCTTTGACGGTTTGTTTTTTTAATAATATTAAAATGACTATATTAAAATTTACTGCAGTAAGTATAGTATGGTAACAGTATAGTAAGAGATAAAGCGGCTCTATAGATTTAGAAGTATTTGTTCGTATAACTTTAAAAAAAAAAACAGATAATTAGGTATGTTTTCGAATGGAGCAGACTGAAAACATCTACTTGTAGAGCACAAACAAACAAAAGCATAACCGTGACCTTTGTTCAGCGATTCTCTTTGATAAACATCATCCGTTGTCCTTACATTTTTATTTAATATTTAATATTTAACTGATAAATTTATATCTAAAAATGTAGTTGTTTTTGAATAAACAGTTACTGTAGAATAAATCTTATGAATGTGTGCAATGACGATATTAATTTTTCTTATATTATGATTATAATCTTCATTTTTATCATGTTACAAATACAAGATTGATTTAATTCAAAATTCACACAGAAAAGCGCTTTTCACATTGATATTGATTTCTTCTCCGTTACACAGTACAAGCGCGAGAGAATCATACAAAAACGTGGCAGAACCTAATCAATTGTATAATATATACCTATCAGCTGGCATATAATGAAGGTTTTATACATATCTATGTACGAAGGATAGCTACGACATTCGGGTTGGCGGCGGCAGCTTATCACTTGCGTGTAGCAGCTCACTGCGCGCGGCGCGACATCGATTTTTCCACGAACGTACCAATTTCGGACCGTTTTCTCGCATTACGAACGCGTTTTAAAATTAAAAACAATTTAATACAACGTGCTAAAATACCATCGATGACGGTGTGAAATGTGATAATTTCCCGGGCAAATAATGCGCCACTCCCCGTGGGCAGAAAAGAATAATGGCCGCCCAAAATAAAGGCAAGTCAACGTGAATTTTTTTTGCTTTTACGCTTTTTTAATGTTAGTAATTTGTTACTGTAAATTTCCCGTGTCGCAAAAGCATTAACCGTGTGAAGGTCATCGTTTCATGCTAATGTAAGTGGTGTTCGTTTTGCATTAGTATCGGTTTGACATGATAACAGGCTGGGCTGTGTGGGCGAAAATCGGCCATGTGAGTTATGTTTGCAATCGTGTTTTTGTGGCGCTGAATGATAAGGGTTGATTCCTTAGTTATTCTCAACAGTGCTTTTAAGTCATTTATAATAACTGCAATGTGTAGGTACAATTGAATGTGCTTTATGAATTATACCTAAAGTACACGGCTAAGCCGATATGGCATCTTCATAAATTTATATTTTCTTCTTTTTTTTCTTCAATATAATTTTGAAAGCTAGAAAATACCATACATACTTGCATGCATTTTCTTCGAAGCTGATAATTTTATTTCCATTTTTGTATGTTTTTCAATACGAACAAACAATAAACAATCAAAATATCACAGTAAAGAAATAGTTTAATCGACAAATGTGTTTATTTTAATCAGTAAGGTAAGGTAAATTTACGATTTTAAAATAACGGATACACAGATATATATTAACAGAGGTCTAATAAAAACTATGTAGCTACAATTCATCATCTTATTGTTCGCCTGCGATTTCTAACGATTAACGAACTCATCCTACGTGCTTTAGGGGACATGAAGATAGCAACTTATAGCGGAACAATGTCTTCAATAGTTTGCATGTTTTCATGTTACACTTCGATGTTTGATGAACTTGTATTTATTTAATGTTGACGTTGGGCAGACGTGCCCTTGATCCTTATAATACTTTTTAGGTTTATTAAAGTTATTTAATAAAGTATGAAAAGCCGAAAGTCCCGCTAGCCACCTCCCGGCTCCATTATGTATCAGTTCGATTAAAAATATGTAAAGCCCTTCAAGGCGTCACTATGACGGAACAAATCAGATATGAGTGGACTTGAGATTCTTAGTTAGCTTTGATTACCCAATATTATATACCTTCAAATTAGAAATTTCTCGATATTGAACGCCTTTTTATTTTTATTGCCCTTGTAGGCAGACGAGCATACGGCCCACTTGATGGTGAGTGGTTACTGTCGCTTATGGACATCCGCAATGCCAGGGGTAGAGTCAAAATGCTGCCTACCCGCTTACAGCTAAGCTGCTGCCTACCGTTTGCATGCAGTTGTATATGTATCATATTTATGTATAGATTGGTAAAATGTTTTTTTTTTTGTGCATTTATTTTTATTGAACTTTAAAATTTTTAAGGTAAAAATAAGTAGTAACATTATAAATATTAAGAATATAAGAATACCGATGTTTACCGACTAGGATGAGATAACAGGGCATAAATGCTACAAATTTAGTCCCTACCAAAAAATAGGATTTTTTTAAATTTGCGATTCTGAATGCTTACGAGGAAATTTAAAAGAAAGGAAAAGAAAATACCTGAAATTTTCTGTTCTTAAATTTGTACCACGATGAAAGAAATTGTTGCTTAATTAATTGAAAACAGTAAAATAAGTGGTCAAATTATTTATGGTAATTGGTATTTTGTGTCCGTATTGATCGGTACCACTTTTGCCAAATGCTGCCACAAAGCAATCTCGTTTTTTTCCTACCTATTATACCGCTAATAATTCATGATAATGATAGCGAATGACGACCACGACCGCTCTGACAAAAGTGATACGACAAAGGAGAGATTATATCTACCGCTGGTAGGTTAAGGTGCTATTCCATTATACTCTGGCTTGTAGGTAAGCTCAGAAGCCCGATCTGAGAGAGTTTTCCCAAGATTACGCAAAATCTACTACCGAATCGGAAACGCGCTACCGGATCGGAATCGCAATCTCATTCGTTCGTTTTTCTTCAAAGCAAAGAAATAAATAAAGCGTGCTTTGTGAGCGAGTTTGTATTCACTGTTGGTAGCACGTTTCAGATGTTTTAAATTATTGAATTTGAACCGATTTTTTTATCTGCAGATTAAACTTAGATACGACTAGCCGTACTCGTCCGCTTCGCTGGGCATTTAAAATTAACAATATTATTTATCGTCATTATTATTAGGGAGTCCAACACTCATATGAATATTAGCCTATCCATTAAGTACATGTATTTTCTACATGGATACCAAGTTTCAAGTCAATCGGAGGCATGGTTCAGTAGTTAGTAGTTATAACGGAACATCCGTAAAAACCACTGTAGATTTATACATTAGTATAGATTTCTTCTGGCAGGCAGCGGCTTGGCTCTGCCCCTGGTATTGCTGACGTCCATGAGCGACGGTAACCACTCACCATCAGGTGGGCGGTATGCTCGTCTGCATATAGGGCAATAAAAAAAAAAGAATACATTTTCACTCCCAACTATTTTTACCTCAAGATTAATCTAGGCTTAGCATTGACACAAATCACCGAGACACCGCTTAAAAACTTTGATGTTACCCAAGATTAGGAAATTCGGAGAGCTTACTGAATCGATTCTATATAGTCAAATCGGTTTAGCTTCGTTCGTAAAGCTACAAAACGATAGGTATTTTTTCATCAACTCAATTTATCTTATAGCGATAATTTATGATTTTTATACATGAATATCATTATTTACCACTTTGTTATTTAACTACTAAATAAGTTTTGTTTGATTTTCTTATTACTGGTGGTAGGACCTCTTGGGAGTCCGCACGGGTAGGTACCACCACCCCGCCTATTTCCGCCGTGAAGCAGTAATGCGTTTCGGTTCGAAGGGTGGGGTAGCCGTCGTAACTATACTGAGACCTCAGAACTTATATGTCGAGGTGGGTGGCGCATTTACGTTGTAGATGTCTATGGGCTCCAGTAACCACTTAACATCAGGTGGGCTGTGAGCTCGTCCATCCATCTAAGCAATAAAAAAAAAATACTAGTATTAGATGGCATCAGATACATCAGGTACCTTCTTAAAACATCATGGAGGACACCGTGGATAATACAGACTCGAATGGCGCTTGCTAAAATGAGCGTATAAGGAGCACGTCGCAACCCGATGATGCAATTTATATATACCTCGTCCTTATTTTATTATTCGAGTCTACCCTACTGTGTGCAAGTGTTGAGGGGGTGTGTTGGAGTTTGAATATAAATGTAATATAATGGCAGGCAACACTTGACACATGATTACAGATTTCGAATATTAGAATTATTTTAAATGTTTAAAAAACAGACGATTGTCTTTTCGTAAGAAAAAGTCAGTACTTCTCATCTAGACACGGTCAAAGAAACATGTAAGAGTTTTATAAAAAATATAAAGATAGTAATTTTATAATGGTGTAACAGTGTTCAAACTATCTGCAATATAATTATAATGAAGCAGTGTGTTTTTAAATAGCCCCTCATCAACCTACAGAACCCATTCCCCTCAAATTTAACCGTCCAACACCTACCAACACTTAAACTGCAACTTATACTCACTAATGTCATAAACCTTCACATTGTTTTGACAATTAAAATAAGATCTCTTCAATATGTATGAGAACTGCTTGTTTAACGAATGAACATAATATTACACATATAATAATAAATTTATGCGTAGTTTCAACATATATTTTAAATAACAAAATAATAAATAAATAAGCAAAACAAATACTAAATAAGCAGTCTGTTATGTAACACAGTCAGGGACATCTTAAACTAGGATGGGGCCCTTGGGCACACAAGAATTTGAGGCCCTTTTGGAAAGTAGAAAAAGCGAATTATAATAATGTTTTTTTACTGAGTATGAGACCATTTATTATATATAGGTAATCAAATACAGTATGATATAATATGTAATTAATGATAAATGCTGCTGGTTTTTTGGTTAAGATTTCGATAACGGTTTCTTTCGGGATTTCTGTTGAGCAAAACCTTCTATTATAGGCTTCTATTATACCTATGCCTTGTAAATACCTTCTGATTACTGATTTGTGAAAAAAGTGTAATGTGCCTGACAAAAATGTTTTGAGAATAAGCGCGTGAGAGAAATTCTCGGTCTCTCGGGGCCCCCTGAGAATGGGGGCCCTGGGCACGGGCCCCGTGTGCCCTTATGGTAAAGACGGTATTGAACACAGTCTAAGCGTTCTAAGAAGTAATAAATTCCGCATTCTAAAGTTCTCCGGGCTCAGTCCGGTTTGAAAAGTGGGGACGTTAAAACAATGGAATTAAGACTTCCACCTTATATATAGATGCGAGTGATAGCATTCACATGTCTATATGCAACCGGAAACGGACAGACCTAGATCTAATGCATAGAACTAATCTTATTACACTCACTTGAGTGAATACTGGGATTGATTAACCACAATAAGGACAAGTTTTTCTCTACCAAGTACATCCAGAATAATAAATTCCAATTTATATGTATAAAATAGTTCATCCATACTAACGAGAACCACTGCGTTTATCCACAGCGCCCATTTAGAGGATCTTTTCTACCGCATACCCTCCTGTTTTTTAATGAATTCCCCCCAACGGTGTTACAGGGTGCTATGACATGTCCTTCTTGCGTGTCATGACATGTCATAAGTACTTAGGCTATTTGGCTCTGACCCAGGTATTGCTGATGTCCATTAGTGACAGTAACCACTCCCTATCAGGTGGATATTATGCTCGTTTGGCTACAAGGGCATTAAAAATAATTTAAAATTCTGCCGCTTGCTTTCAAACTTTGTTACAATCGTATGATGATTTACCGTCGATAGCAAAACAAAAGGTAGATAAGGTCATGCTGTCATCGTGTTTTTTTTTGGTTGTAAAAGTTTCTGAATAGAAAGGAAAGTAAAATTACTATTCTAATATTTTTCACAATTACAAAAAAAAAGTTTTACATACTTTTGGACAAAATGCTTCTGGCAACATGAATTTGTCTCACATTACCGAGCATTCAACGAGGTACATGTCTAAAGCACTCTCGTCTCGTGCTCAGTGTTCACAAAATG